ATCATTTCATGTTAAATTTAATCTTTTATACAAATCCAAATAACTTGAAATTTTAGACGTCAATTCTTCTCATCAAGGCACACCGAATAAAATATTTAAAAATAATTCAAAATAATAAATAGATCAAAATACCCTCAAAACTTTTCAAGGGTATTTTGATCAATTTATTTTTTGTAAATTATTTTTTTGATATTTTTGTTAGATTATCCTATTTTTGAAGAACGCACGCTTAAAATTTAAAGTTATTTGGATTTGTAAAAAAAACATTAAAATTCAAATACAGAATAAAATCGTGATCGTCTGATCGACCTAGATTCAATTTGAACCATTGAACTCATATGTTCATATGAGCTAGTAAAATAATATCAGCATTTTCTTTTATATATATATATATATATTCAAAACATTCCAATTAATAATGAACTCTTTTTATTTTGAATTTTCATTTCACCCACCTACTTCAAAAAAAAAAAAAAAAAAAAAAATCCTTAAGTATTTAAATTGTTCTTATTTAGGTGACGGGGCATTAATCAAGTGAAGGTATTCTAGTAACTTGATCCGCCTAAGAGGCCCAGCCAAATGATTGGTGTGCCCTTGTTTGTTCAAGTAGGGTTACCAAATCTCTTCGATTTTCAGGGTTCCCAACCTTGAAAAAGGATAATTTGGGTATCTGTGAAGCTATTTTTTAAGGAAGCATATGGTGAAACACACTGAAAAGCAATCTTTCTAATGTTAATTGAAATCTTTTATCCCTTAACAATTTTATAAAGAGATTTAACCCCTTAAATGATACTTATTCTATTCATTATTAATTGAACTGTCCCCTGAATTAATTGTTGCTTCTATCAAAATACAAATCATAGGCCAAAACAATAAGCTTATTACAAAAAGAGGCGCCTCAACCCTTTATTTACAAATCAAAGGTACATCTCCAACCCTGCCCAAAGTTGCAATTCTGGTGCTGAAAAAACGACAATAGCTTGAAAATCAATTTTCATACCCTAGTTATCAAATTTAAAGCCAAAAAAATAGTTTGAATCAAACAAATTTATAAACACTTGAAAATCTTAAAAATAGATAGTTAAAAGTGTGCAACAAGATAAACGATTTCTAGGACCTGAAATCATTTTTTTTCTTTCTTATTCATATAGCTCGAGGTCGAGATGATCAATTGAAAAGTTTCAACATCGGACCAACCTCAATGGGTTGCACCTTGGTATAAGTTTTACAGCGTATATAGACTCTTTTATTTTCCAATTAAGGAATATAGTAATGCATTCTTACCATTACGTAGTTTCATGCTAATTTTCCATCTAATGGAGAAAGTTTCTTTGTATCTCCAATTCAGGTCTTTTATATTGTTCCTCCCACTCTTCCAGTAAAATATATAATGGAATGAACCATTCTGGTTAATATTTGTAAGAAAATGTATAACTAACATAATTGAGCATACTCTTACAGTGTGATATCTTTCTATCAAACAGAACATGAACTCCATACATAGAGTACAA